GACATCAAAACAATAAGAAAGTTTGGTATGAATAGCTTTATCGATCCTGGTGTTAGGAACTTAGAAGTAATTTATGCTAGTAGAACTACCTTGTTTCGGCATGCATAATTTCGAATATTTTTATATAAACAATTTGTTATTCGCATATTATGTTTAATTTGAAATTATAATGAAATTAAAAAAATAAATTAACTAAATACCTCAAAAAGTAAAACTTGAGAAATTCTTATTACAAATATACAAAAATTTCATATTTCACGTTAATTATAGAATGTTTATTTTTGTTTTTTAATAAAGTATCTGAAATTATTTCTAAAAAATAAAGCGCAAGATGTTTAATCTTTAAGTGAATTGTCTATTTAGGCCGTATTTCGATATATACTAGTATTGAAACTCTATAATTTACGTGTTACGTATATACTATAGATTTTTAGTATTGGTAGTGTATATCAGAACGTGGCCTTAATTACATTATAAATATAACAAAACTAAATCTTCAACTTCTTAAGTAATAAACAACGTAATATACCGCATAAAATTAATTTATGAAAACTTGTAGCATATAATAAACTATCGTAGAACGCTCGTCATACTGAACGTATTACAAAGTCTTGCGAAAATGTCGACTCCGAAGAATAACATTAAAGTTCCTACTGCTTATCCAACGCATTACCGAAACGCGACTAAAACTGAAAAGTTGAAGACATTACGGGCGTGAACTTCTCATTTTTAATGCGACGCTACGTTTCTCAACAGCAATAGTAACAGCAGGCTGCGCACTTCCTCGAAATTGTGAGCACCTTTTACGCGTCGTGTGCCATTGCAGAGAGAGTGGCAATAAATGTCAGTGCGGCACATTTTATTATGGTGCCTCCACTATGGTACTTTTCTGGGCATCGTTGCTTGCAGGCTGACCTGCGAATATGTATTCGATTTTATCACCGTTGATTCCGGCATATACTTCCATTGGGACCTCACGTCCTGTCTTATCGCGAAACATATTTGCCTTATATCTGTTTTACTGCTCGTGCGGCTCTTCATCTTCACGCTCACTTTCCCTTGACAAATATTTCTACTTGAAACAAAAAGAAGTGCGCGCGCGCACCACACACACAACTTTAGTAAGTTTAATATTTTTATGCTGCTGCTAAAGTATAACAATTGTAGATATATGTATATCTTAAAGCTCCTGAGTAGTCACCACAGCTATATTGAATCATGACATCAAAAGCAAGAAATAATACGTTAATTTTTATTACGTGCCATTTATAAATAAAGACAATTTGAATAAAACAAAATGATGAGATTGCTTCAAATTATTTGTAAAAATGGACGAAAACTGTGCATATTCTCCCTGACAGTCGGTAAATAATCGTAAAAAGTAATAAAAGGCACGTGTAAATGAAAATAAGCTATGCATAAAAACACTTCATGTGTCTTTTATCATATATGGTTGTGATGACACTACTCAGGAGCCTTAATATAATATATATAATATATATCCGGTTATGTTATATTCTGCAAAAGATAGACAGGGTCCTGAATGACGTAATGATTATCTTTTTTATAATATACAGACGATCCCTTTTTCACAAATCATGTAAAAATATTACAAACGCACACATATATTGTTGTATGCATCCTTCGAAATCGGAAACATGATACAAAGGACATGACGTGACAGCGTACAATACCGAATTTTATTCAGTGTGGGTATTGGAATTCGATATTTTCGTCGCATACATGTCAGCACATCGACAAAAATGTGCCGTAATCGACACCGTAAACAATGCAAAACTGAATATATCGTTATAAAAACTTATATCTATCATTCAGCGTTTTCATATTTTGTTTCTCTTTTTTGCATGTTTTTCCTGAAAGCGCGTTTTTTAAAAAAAACATCATTGTAAATCAATAGATCATTATTAAACGTTGAACACACCAAATGATAATTAGGGTAACTGTCCCTGTTAGTGTGCTTTTGTATTTCGATCAGTCATAAAGAAAACTAGCACAAATAAATAAAAAAAATATTTTTTTTGTTAAATTAAATTATTAATGCATACGATACCGAAGATAATATTTTATTTTTTGAATATTAAAATATTTTAAATATTTTTCGAAGGATATGAGGAATTTATGTGAATCTAATAATACGTACCGCAAGATTTTATTTTGTCCCTATTAATGTGCCCTGTATTGCAGCTGAGAACATTATGTTATGAGTATTTTGAAATAAATATAATTGAAATAATAATTTATGTAATATTAATATGAACAATTAGCTGAAATTTATTATCTGTTTTAGTAACTATATGTTAAAATGAGTCAGATTAATAGGGCTATCGTCGCTTAGAAAACTCATTAATACGGACAAAAACATATTTTCTATTTTTGTTAAAAGCATTATAAAGTATTAACATTTTTTAGATTAAAGAAATAATATAAGAAAAAGAAGTAGTTGAAAAACCGATATTGATTGCAAGCAAATAAAATTATAGCTACAATATTTAATAATTAATTCAGTAATAAGCAAATTGGCTAAAAGGCACATTAATAGGAACAGTTACTCTATTAATTTTTGAAATTAAAGTTGCGAAAAAAACAAAATTTGTTACGAGCCCAATTTAAATGTACGTGGTATTTTTTCCTAAATTCCATTGAAATTTCTTCGTTCACAAGATTGTCAAATTCTATTATTTATGTTGATAAAATTATATGCATGTTATTTAAACGTCTCAAATTTTTAGACAGATTTAATCTCTAATATTTTGCCATAACAGGAAAAACATTTGTTTCTCTATTGGACACAAATAGATGCTAAATGGAGCGCAGCGTCTGTAAAGCGATGTCAGCAAACTTTTAATCGGCAATTTGAAGTAACGCTTCGATGGAATCGGTCACATTCATTTGATCATAAATAAAGTACATTGGTACAATTTTGAAACAATTATTACTAGATACCAATTTAAGCAATTTTATACTATTGGAGAATCAATATCTCTCGTTAATGTACTTGTGTTAAATGTTCGATTTATGTTGAAATTAGAGCTTATGGATTTTTTATGCTAAACATAAAGTTTGTGTTTTTGAAACACCCAGGATGAAAAGCAATCTATATTTAATATTCCCTTCAAACAGTATATAGAATTTCTACGACATCAATCAGTTTGATTATAATCCAAGGAGAGTTGCAATACGCACGGTCTATATAAGAGAAGTCTATATAAACAGAAACTCTACGATTGATAATTTTATAATAAAGGAAAATAGATTTATACTCAACTTTTGAAATCGCTATTCTGTTATATAATTTAATTAATATACTTAACTCCATTTTATCATGAACACAGTCGCCATAAATATAATAAAATTGTATTTATTGTACGTCAAGTTGCTAATGATAATCGATATATTTCATCAAACTTTCCAATACGTGGAGTTTTCGTGACTTTCTAATAATGTTATTTTACTTTTCTTACTTTTAGTTTTCCTTGATCAATTGTTATTGTTATAGTAGCATATCATTTTCCTTATCTCTTTTTATTTTCAAATTTTAAAAGTAAAATTGATAAATTTGAAAAAATTGCTTTAAGGAAATTTTAAAAAATTATTTTAAGGAAAAAAATTTGTCAAAGGATTATTACTTTAAATATTTAATAATTTTTCTGTTTAAGAAGCCACCGAAATCCATTTACCTAATCCATTTACATGTGATTGTCTTCCGTTTTTTTACTATCCTTTATACCTTATTCATTTTAATGATATTACGCCTTTGGTGTATCAGTATTAATCATGTCTTAGACTTTTATACACAAAAGAATTTAATGTTACTCTTAGAGTGAATCTTGTTAGTTGTATATGTCAGATGCATGAAAGGGCTTCATTTTGAGGAGCGATTTTCTCAAAAGGCGGCCAACAATGGTTGTCAGTTCTTGCTTCAACGACATCTGACCCGAATGGCACAGTTGTGGTGAATTTAATTGCACTTGCTTATACTGGGATAAAGAATTAACCAAGATCGCCTAAAAGAATGGAAAAATTCTTGAAGTAAAAAGTCAGAACACTTAAATGAAAAACTTTCAAAAAATGTGTCATTAAGGTGATAACTTTTCTAAAAACGCAACTGCAATTTGAATATATGCATTATTTTATTTTTTATATAACAGTTTACTGCTTAAAAAAATTTTGCCTTATTATGTAAATAATATAATAGAAATTTTTTAGCAGAGAAACAACGAAATGTTGCTTTATCGTTGAAGTACTAAGCGGTCATTATTGATCATTTCAGTTTTTTAGATTAATATTATGTTTTTTTATGTAAAAATAGGATTTTGAAATTTTTTGACTTTTTAATAATTATATTCTTTACATTGATGAAATATTTGGTTCTTCATCACTTTATATTTTCATAATAATTTATTCGCTTGTTCCTTTCAATAAATAAGAAAGAGTACTTCTAATAAAATATCCAATATCTTTGTTTATTATTTTATGTCTATTATTTTATGTATATCGTGTTTGAGAAAAACAATATAATAGATTATGTAGGTTTTTAATTTTTTTATTAATTTTTATTTTCATCTTTATTTATTACAATTATTAATTTTATTTTGTAAAAATTTTTATCTGCAAATATATATAATATATATATATATATATATATAATATTAATTTTATAAATTAATATCTTAGTTCAGTTTTATTTAGTTTTCTTTATTAATATTTTTATAAATAAATTAAATTTTTTTATTTATCTTTTTGCAATTATTAGTAGAAATTATATTCTATATTAAACGGTTTGCAATAAATTATATGTACGCAAGTTGTATAAGGTCAAAAAAATTCTTTAAAAAAATTCTAGAATCTTTTATTTTTTATTGTATAACTCTTTTATTTTATTGTATTTCCTTTCCAAGTTGTACACGCAAATATAAAATACATCGATCTCATATCTGATACAGATATTGCCGTTTACGAGCTCCCGTTTTGTGTTCCAGAGTAGATATTCAATCGGCACATAGGAATGGGAGCTTTTATCAGTGCTGCAGCGGATTTTGCATCGATCTGCTGCAGAAATTTTCCGAAGAAATTGGTTTTACTTTCGAGCTCATAAGAGTGGAGGATGGCAAGTGGGGTACTTTGGAGGTGAGCCTGAACAAAATTCATGAAAGGTGCTGCTTACTTACGTCGTACGAAAGATAAATGTGTCTTGTAATGCAACGAGAAAATTCCCGCGGAGCATTTACCGCAGCCGCAACGGTGTGCTTATTTCTTCCTTTTGGACGTTTAAAATTTTCTGTCCTTTCATGTCTGCAGCAGACACCTACATCGCGAACAAAATGTAATGCGGCTTTAAGGGCATGACTGATCGCTTTTAGTCTTACACCTCTGATAAATTTCTCGAATATAAAAGGAGAGAAAAAAAAATTGTACTCTATTGTTGTAACTCTCGATGTAGGACTGTGTAATTTGAAAATCGAATCATCTGACGATAGTAATTTTCTGCATGTGTGTTGACCCTATTGATGATTATTACGAAATGAACGCATGAATGAGCTTTCGACGCGTTTAATTTCCGCTGCACAAAAGTTACTTCCGACGATGCAACATATACTATATATTTACGCTTCAGCGATTGCTTAAATGGTCCAAAACAAATAATTTTTCGTTTATCGAGCGTTTTAATTACGTTATCGAATCATCATCATTTTATGTTTTTCTCTCACGAGATGTATATTAAATTACAATTATTGCGCTAAAATAATAAGAAATATTCGTTTCAATCTTGCATAGCATGCGAAATTATTTTCAGTGTTTTATTACTCCGTCATATATTTTCACATTTATAAATCAACGAACATTAAATAAAATGAACTCTGTTATTCGATAAAAACAATTTCGCGAAGAATAATTGACTTTTTGTCATATCTAATAAATATCACGATTTATTAACTATTGTATACAGAATGGGAAGTGGAATGGGCTTATAGCTGATCTCGTCAACCGAAAGACCGATATGGTGATGACTTCGTTGATGATCAATTCAGAAAGAGAAGCGGTAGTCGATTTCACTGTACCTTACATGGAAACTGGTATTGCCATTGTTGTAGCAAAAAGAACAGGCATAATATCTCCCACTGCGTTTTTAGGTGAGAATTGCATTATAAAAACCACTTTGCGAACGATATTTATAAACATGTTTACAAATTGATAATATATATATGTCTAAAAAATATATGTTACTTTATCATAAATAAACATTGTTACATAAATTAAGTAAAATATTTACGGAAGCATGCTACTGTGTATTTCGAAATATTAATATTACTGTATAAATTAAGGGAATATTTACAAAAGCAGTAATTTCGCACGAATCATCACCACACGAAAATATATGATGAATGTCGGTATAATCCAAAATAGAATTTGCTTTAGCATCTAATAATGCATTTTTAGAACCGTTCGATACGGCTTCATGGATGCTAGTAGGCATTGTTGCCATACATGCCGCAACGATAATGATACTGCTCTTCGAGTGGGCATCACCCTCTGGGTTCGACATGAAGGTAAACCCTTCAGGCGCTGCGCAAAAACTGGTATTTTTTTATTTCGCTTTTTATTAACTACGTGTATATATTTTCTCTTCGTTTGCACCTTTATCTTTCAACGCACAAATATTGTGATGTCATAACTAGAATAATTAATTAATTCTAACGCATGCTTCAGTGTTTGTAGTCGAAAATAGAAAGAATACATTCCTAAATCAATATTATATAATGACTTCTAATTTGCGGCTATTTTATATATATATATATATATATATATATATATATATATATATACATATGTATATATTCATATAATTTTGTATAATTAATAAAATTTTTTTACAGAAATTTACTACTTCGTGTATATTTTTTATGTGTATTTTTTATCATTACCTGATGTTCTTATATAATTACGTAATTCATTACTTTTTTCAGCATTACGTATGATTATTTTGCATGTATCTTGCACAATTTTATAAAAGCCACTGCGTATCGATGTTCTCATAATCATAATCATTAAATTAAATTTTCAATTGGAAAAGATGTAATAACGATGTACTATATTTCTTATAACATGCACATGAGCAATTTCAAGTTTTTTTGCTCATGTTACTGCTGTTATTGCACAATGTTTTTTTATGTCAGTGATACAGATCTTTCCCTTTCTGCAGAATAATCCATCGACGAACCATCGATTTTCTTTCTGTCGTACGTACTGGCTGGTCTGGGCCGTGTTATTTCAGGCTGCCGTCCATATCGACTCTCCCAGAGGATTTACAGCTAGGTCAGTGAAAAGGATCCTTTTCCCCAAGAATGTCGTTTTCCCAACGAATTTTAATTACCGACCCGAGATAGAACTCGAGCGACAAATTAGTCTTCCGGTACACTTAGTACTTCGCTTAACCATTCGACATCGGTCGCTGTGTATAAATGTTCCTAGACAAACATTTACTTGCCGACTACCGTTTTAAAATATAAATTACTCCACTTTTATTATAAATTGTCAAGCATATATTGACTCAAATCTAAAAAGATTTATTTGATGTAAATTATATATTTTGTTAATACAGCACCAATTTTATAAATCATATTAATTTAAGTTAATTTATTGAATTTTTTTGAATAATAAAACAATATAATTTTGAAACAACTTTGATCAAATATACAAAAATTAATAAATATAAATGGAAAAGGAAAGCTAAAAGTTTAATAAAATTAAACGTTTTTTAGAAGAAAATTGTCGATTTTTTTGGATATTTATTTTACTGATTGAAACTAATAATACATATATTGTATAATATAATAATGTAATTAGAGAATTCTATATAATGATAAAAAATATTAATATTAAAATATCAATTAATAAATGTTTTATTACATTTCTGTGTAATATAATTTTATTAATTTTTATAAAAATTGCAAAATATTTGAATTAAACAAATTATCAATAAACGAGCAAATTAAGATCTTAAATATTATATGTTAAATGTACAATTATCGTATATTTGAATTCAGTGACGAGGGTCTAAGATTTCAACGAGAGTGATAGCCAATTATCACTGGCAGACAGTTATATGTCAAATAGTTCATACCATGACTATTATTTTACACCATTGATTTCATTTTAATGGACTTAATGTGATTCTCGCCGTTAAATGAGGATTTAGTTATTTTAACATCTTAACGTTACTTTTTGCGAATGTGCCAATATCTTGACATTGTATTCCATCGACTTTTATGTCTACGATTAGAATAGTAGGATAATTTTTTTTGTTTAATTTGTAAATGAAGACTCTGCGAAACGTTTTAATAATTTTTTGTATACAATTTTATTTTATACGCTGAATTCAAATATACGTTAATTATTTATTTAACTTAATTTGCTCGTTTATGGATCCTAATTTGTTTTACTGTATCAAACAATCAAACAGTTATACATATAATTGTTATTTGGATTAAAAATTTACAACATGTTTAAGTCAAAAAACATAATTTATAAAAAATATCAACGTACTATCTATTCAGATTTATGACGAATGTCTGGGCATTATTTGCCGTGGTCTTCCTCGCCATTTACACTGCCAATTTGGCTGCCTTCATGATCACGCGGGAAGAGTTTCATGAATTCAGCGGTGTGGATGATCACAGGCTCGCTAAGCCCTTTTCTCACAAACCCATGTTCAAATTCGGCACGATACCATGGAGTCACACAGACAGTACGCTTGCAAAATATTTCAAGGAGATGCACTCCTACATGAGGGCTTTCAATAAAAGCAGCGTTGCAGATGGTATCGAAGCTGTCATTACTGGGTAAATATATTTTTGTAATATTTTTCTAAATTTATTTATCGGGAAAATCAAAGCAAAAAATAAAACATTAAAAATAAAATTATTTTAAAATAATATAGAAGTGTAGTAAATTTATATTGTGATAAAAAAATTTCTCTTTTATGTAAACAATTTGTGTATAGATATCTATTAAAAAAAATAAATTTTTAGATTTGTATATTCTTATTTGGCAGGTTTTATATAAAAATTGCAAAAGAATTTATAACTGAAATAAAATATTTTATTTGATCCATTCATATATGTTTATATTATATACAGATTCTAATAAATATAATTGGTAATAATAAAAAATCATAAAAAAATATATTAGTTTGAAACTGATTAAAGAAATAGAAATTTAATTATTTCTGTGTCTAAAGTGAGATATTCTATTGAATTCTGTATTATATAAATATTTATATATATAAATTAGAAAAAGGTTCCTCTTGACATATATAAATTTAAAATGTCCTTATGAGGATATAATGAGATACAGAGATTCCTATTATAACTTCTGCAGAGATATGGATGCGTTCATTTATGACGGCACAGTTTTGGATTATTTGGTCGCTCAGGATGAGGATTGTCGATTGCTAACGGTCGGATCATGGTATGCTATGACGGGATATGGTCTGGCGTTCTCCAGGAACTCAAAGTACTTACAAATGTTCAACAAGCAGCTGTTGGACTATAGAGATAACGGTACTTTTGCATGTGCTCCAAATCTTTTTAAGCATCCCGAAGAATACTTTCACATCTAAAAGATCCTTCTGTGTGTGTAAAATATATGGATCCGTAAATTTCACTTGACGGATTACTTCGTGATTATTCTTTGTATTTATGTCATTCCGTTAATTCTAGGAGATCTGGAGCGGTTGAGAAGATACTGGATGACTGGGACGTGCAAACCTGGGAAGGAAGTACAAAAGAGTAGCGATCCGCTAGCATTGGAGCAATTCTTGAGCGCATTTCTGTTACTGATGATGGGTATTCTTTTGGCGGCAGTCTTTTTACTTTTGGAACACCTGTATTTCAAATACATCAGACAACATCTGGCAAAAAGCGACGACGGTGGCACATGTGCTATTTTCAGCCTGGTAAGCATTTTGGATTTTAATATTGCGAAAATCTCTTAATTTCCTGTGCTACTTCTGGAAGTAGGTCATTCTTAACTTTAAAACCACCTACAGAAGGCGACAGATGTTTAAATATTAATAACATTTCTTAAATCGTGCTACTAATAATCTAAATCAACTTTTTATGAATTCACAATAGATATTATATACTTTTGAATAAAATAATTTAATTGATAACAATCTATTAGCATTAAGAACAAAATATAATATAAAATGTTTAAAATGTATTGACAATAATAATAAATTGGTAATAGAATTAAATGGCACATATAACAGTACTTTAAGAATGTATTAGACATACAATCCTTGCAAGAAAATTAAATTTAAATATATGTTTAATATTTGTTCTTCAAATAAACTATTAGGTGTTGGAATTAATTCGTAGCGTTTTACAAGTGATGGGAAGTACTTTCATTAATGTATTTTTTAATGCTCATGTGAAATAAATAACATTCTTTCATTAAAAAACGCTACGAATTAATTCCAACACCTAATATATACATATAAAAGTTGTGTGACTAAGATTATATTTTTGTTTAATAACACATTTTGCAGTTTATTTATTTTATTTGTTATTAAACAATATAGGCAAAAAAAGGGCAGAAAGAGCCAATATTTTTAGTAGCAAAAGAACTTTAATTTAGATCATAAAATTCAGTAATAATAACAAAGGACAAAAACATTTTAACTCCGCTCGAGTCATTCTCGATTGTGGTAAACTTATTCAAACATCGCTATAAAACAAATATATATAATATTACAAAACTCGTTATAATTCTAAAATACGTATTCTTCATTTTGTGTAGTGCGAGTCAATCATCGTTATATCGAAAATCAAAATAATAAGAAAGTAATACTTTAGAAAGTGACCGTGAAGTCAGATGTTCACTCTTGCAAATTTGCTTCAATTAATAACTAATGTATTCTATTGTATTACGATATGGATTATCACCTTCCTATGTTTTTTCTCTCTTTTTTTATTAATGGCCTCTCAACATTTATTACTATAACTGACAAAGTACATCATTTTATTATATATATTATTAATTTGTATGTGTCAAGTACTAATTGTTCTTTTGTTCACCAAATTTGTTGTATTATTTTTAAACATGATTTAAAATATTCTGTATTTTTTTCATTTTATTATTATTTTGAAAATATGTATAAAACACCCTTAACGTCAAAAAAATACTTTTAATTTCCTTTGCAAATATCGACAAATTCTTGTATATATAATACATTTTTGTTTCGTTCGATAATATCTATTTTTATAGATATTTCGCTTAACATTGAAAACTTGAAGAAGGATAATAGTATGTAAAATGTTTTATTTAAAGAGCGTGGGAAAATCCTTGACTTTCCGTGGTGCAGTGTACGAAGCGCAAGATATCTTAAGGCATCATAGATGCAAGGATCCGATCTGCGACACCCACTTATGGAAGGTCAAGCATGAACTTGACATGGCTAAGATCAGGATACGACAGCTTGAGAAGGATCTTGAGGCCCATGGAATAAAGCCAACTCAGACCAAGTACGCTCCGTCCTTCTCCTAATACCATTTAATTCCGTATCAAACTACGAAAGTACTCGACTACACTGGGTATTTGCAATGCGATCGAGCGAAGAGCCGGATTGATCAAGTTGAATCGCACGGCTTGCGAAGACGGAGGCTTGCTCTTCTGATCAGCCATGCTATTCGATTATCTTCGAACTCGATCGCTTAATATCGGATGAGGAATCGTACTCATAAGCAATTCGATCATAAGTTTTCCGTTTGATTAATTTTATTTTTTTCTATTAAAATAGCGAGAGCTCGCAAATTTTTTAGAATAAATCGCCTTGATATCAGAAGTCTATATGACAAATGAGGTATTTTTGTTATATAGTTAATCTTTTAATGCCGGGTTTTCCTAAATCGAAATATCACGCTTGTGTACGACGAGAAAATAAAAATTTAATGTTACGAGTTATTGATATCGAAAATTTTTTAATTTTAGTAAACGATTTTTTTGAAAATATGGTAATTTTTTTAGCGCGTGTTGCACGGGACGAAAATAAAAGTAAATCAATATTGCATAATATATATCTAGCTGCAATAACATTCTATTCAATTTCAACACAATGTTCAACAAAAATTTAATTAGTTTATTTTAAACGCGCTTGTTTTTTTCAGTGTATATTTGAAAATATTGTAAATTTAACTATTACACCTCAAATAAAAATACAACGCTCGTAAAAAAATTTAAAGGGGTTAAAAAAATAAAAAACACTTGTTACTAAAAAACTATTTTGATATACAATTATATCAAAATGTTTGACTTAGCAACAATCAATACGTCGTGAAATTGAATTTAACATTGACATTGAAAGATTAATTGACATTATTTATAATCAAGTAAAAAATGTTTTCGTGGCAGAAAACAAAATGTTTAATCCACTGATCAACATTACGCATTCTTCATTTTTTTTTTCTCTAGATTACGCTTTCACGAAAAATACTTTTCGCAGAGTGCTGTCGCTTATTTTCCATTTCCAAAACTGGACTCTTTGTTCTAGAAAGCTTTCTTTTGAGTCTCTTCATTCTCTTCAATCTCTTCTTTTCACGCTCTCTTTGCTCTCCCGGAAATTACTTCGTAAAGCGGAAGTGGACCCGTGATAAAAGTCTACGCATGCAGTTGCACATTTATTCTTATACCTGTCTTTGTTCTAATATCTTGAACAAACTTATGCTCGGTTCTGTATGCAAATTTTCATGTTACAATTTAATTTATTACGGAAATTATTGTTGTACGAGTAGCACAGCTCAAATAATTTCCAGACCGAGCTTAAGTAGTAACCTACTTTCTAACGTCACTTGGAATCTTGTTCGCACAGCATGCATCTATCTATAATAAAGCGAAACGTGCGTTTTCGATGGGACGTTCAATGTGTCGACGTCTTTTAATATCGCAGAAATCCCATCGCATTTTCTTCTTTTCTTCATCTCCTCTCTTTATTACTGACAAGCACTTTCTCCGAAATATTACAACTTCATATTAAAAATCGTACATTAAAATGTATTAAATGTAATATTAAATGGCATTTATTATTAATCTTAATATTTTTAAAATATTAAGATTAATAATAAATGCCAAATATTCTTTTTTTTTTTTGGTATTTCAAAATAATCTTAATTTGAATATATGTCTTCAAAAATAAATTTTTGAAAAACGATATTATTGGTGAAATTTTTTGATAAATTGCATTTATATATTATATAAGGATTCTATATTTATTTCAAACACTACAAGATTAAATTTCCATTTTTTGTAACTTAGGAAAAATGTAATATGGAAAGGAAAGTTCCATTGAAAATGCTCGCTTTGATACCTCTATTTAGTTTCGGTAACATATATATATATATATATGCTTACTTACGTAATTTAATATCGAATATGAGCACTCGCACCTGATTTCTTCTCTATTATCCGTTTGCGGCCTCATATGCTCACTGTGTAGATAATTTTATTCTTGTTTCGTGAGAAGCGAATCCATTCATATCCTCGTGTTTGAAAAATAAAAGAAAAGAAACCTCCACGAGAGTGGAGTGTTATATGGGGTGTCCTGGGGTGTCGTTTCGAGTGAACGGAAAATGGTTTATTTGGATCATGTTAAGCGATAATTGGTGGTTCGATGGTGTGAAGGAAGCCTGGAACATATCCACGTCGGCTTTTTTAAAGGAGGAAATCCAGAAGTCTGGGCTGGTGGCGAGGGTGCTTCCAAAGTTCGGACCGCCATACACAACCGGAGCCATTGGCGGGGGAAGGGCCACAACCCCCAACGCCATACTTCGATTCGTAAGTCCCCAATGCCAAACTACACGTAAGAACGTTCAGTGATGCAGGAACTAGGTATCTAATCATTAAAATATTCTTTCGTTAATATATTCTTCAATAAAATTCTCTCTGCTGAAATAATTTAATTTTTCATAACGAATTACTTGGTAAAGAAAGTCCTACTAGCGATGCTACTCTGATTCATCTTATATCTTTATCATTTGTTATAATTAACAACATTAAACACAACAACATTTAACACAATCCAAAACATTTCAATGCTATTCAAATAGCTATCATCAGTTGCTTATGAATTACTACTATTTTAAAAATTGATCAGAATTATTCTACAGCGTGTAACCGTAATCGAGACACTAATGCGTAGCATTATAGAAGAGCTGTTGCAAATCCCTTTTATAAAAGCCCTTTTCACTTTGAGCGTTAAAAAATTAAAACTATTTCATAATTACATTCTGATCCCACGACACAATTGGCACTTACACTTTGAATTCAACAGCAGTTCCTACGTCACTGTAATCGATCTCACATGGTGTAGCAAAAGATCGTTCCACCGATCAAAAAAATTTTGCCACGACTCGCGCGATCCCGCGAGGCTCTGTTGTTTCGTAAGCTCGCGCGACCTCCATTCCCCTTAACTTCACTTTTCTGTAATGAAGAAAAAAAATGTGCGGCGAAAGAAGAGAGAAAGAGACGCCGAGCATCACGCGGATCGACGACGGCGGGCGTCTCGTTTAGAGAGATCAATAAGTAGAATAAGAGGGATGTAGAGATTAGGGGTAGAGCCGCTTTTCGCTTCTCTCAGTTTTCTGTAGATTGGTAGATCGTTTGCATAAGTTACGCATACATAAATATTTCTCGCTCATACACTTTCGTGTCGTTCTTATTATCACGGATATCTTTTTTTTTTTTTACTTTAATGTGCTCGAGAGCATGGCATGCGAATTCCAAAAGGAAATAGCTAGATAATTTAGGCGTATCGGTGCCAACAGTGTGTACATTATAGGTAATTACCCATGGTAGTTTGCGGTGGTTAATCGATTAATTACCTATAATGTCCGACGGCGACAGCGAGACAACGCGAAGCGAAAATTAATTCGGGGTGTGGGAATATTGAGAAAGTGCCGTGACCGGGGGCGAAGATGAGAAAGACGGACAGCATGATAAAGTTTACGTGTAGGAGGCAACTTCCATGGTATTACGATGGCGATAACATAATCCTCGATCATTTATATTCAGGTATATCGATGCCGTCGAGGTTGCCCGTCCGAGGGACATGAGTAGAAACCATGTGGTCAGTACGGAATACGCCGAGACGTTCCTACCCACGGAGATTTACAGGTAAAGGCGAGGAATTATGCGGCGTTGGATCGGAGAGACTAATTGTTAAAATGCGACATTATTTACCTTAAATAAAATATATTGTATGAGAAATTTTACAAAATAAATTTCTTTAATTGTGTCTTTTAATTATTATTATTATGTAATTATCACTTGAATACAGATACTTTATTATTAATTTAATTTTATTAAATGATGTAAACTACATTATATATGTATAAAATCTAGCAAACTTCAAAATTCGTATTTATGTATTTACATAAATTGTAATTGTTGGAAGTATTTGATTCTTATTTATTTTGAAATAACATATATTTGTATGTAAATAACATTATCCTGTAAATTATAACATAATTCTATTATATTAATGTAACAGAATGTGTTCATTAACATTTCATATTAATATCTTAATTAATATATTATAATATTGTGACATGTTATAATATTATAATAATGTGTATATTACTGTAACAAGCACAATAAGCACAATGATTTTCATTCGTTATAGTTATTTTATGTCAAAATTTTTATCTTTTTGAAGTTGCATTTGTTAATTTCTGCAACTATTTACTTAGGTATATCATTCGAAAATATTTCGTATTTTGTAAAAATAAGTGATTGTTTGTCATAGGATTCCGGATGATGATGTGACTAGGACGGAAATCGCCGAAATGGAGACAGTTCTGTGATCTTAAGAGGATCGGCTTCAGTCGCCCAATCACGCAACGCTGGAAGCGTATGGGACGAACAGAGAGGCCTCTGAAGACTCCAGAAACAATGCGATTTAAATAAAAAATCGCATCCTGTTGCTCCTGCTTCGAACAACGAGCTCCACCCACATCAACCTTTCGTTCGGACGAAGACGCTGATCCGCTGATATCGATCCTCGGAAATGTCGTCGCGTGCGCGGTGAAACAACGAGAGGAGGAACGTCGTCAGTGCCTATCAATGATTGAGAGTCAACCAGACCAAGAAGACACCAATCGAAGATATTTTGTGACTCAAAGAAGTGCATTTGTTACCAACACTCGCGTTATACTTTTAAAAGATGCATCTTTTGTGTCCTTTGAAACATTGGAAGGAATGCATTTGCATGACAATTTGCAACTTTGCGTTCACATAACAATAGTGATTGTTGTGAGAAAATGTTTCAAAAAATTACTGAATCTTTATAACGCTCGGACGAATGCTCAATAATCGAGCAGGATTTCAGTCTCTCTACGAGAGATTTATTTTTAACAACACGATCGACAGGCCACGTCGTCGACATTGAAGCTAACTGCTTCATGTTCACGTAGGTGCAAAGATTTATTTCAAAATTTCAACCGGTGCCTAAAATCGTTTGGACATGACTCATAATGTATTAGATGATCTATTAAACATTCTGAAAAATGATTAGTAATTTTATAAAAATAAAGTAAAACATTTAATTTTTTAAAAATACTTTGCAATGCGACTATTTTATTTACGCAATTAGTTCCATTGACTGCTTTGTCATTTTTTAAATTAAATTCTCATATATTTTTATAATTACAAATCAATCAATAATAAAAACTTCTATATAAATATTTATTAATGGAATTTTGTTAATCTTAATTTTTTATTAATTTTGCTTTTATTAATTTTTCTTTGATACATATCTTAATATTTTGTTTTACCATAATTTTTTAAAAAGAATAATTCTAATTTTTTTTTACTCGAGTCTAATATCGATTTTCAATTTTAATATTGATTTGCAATTTAATATTTTAATATTACGTTCAAATTGTAGTTATAATTTTAATTTGTAATATATTATTTATAGAACAGTTCTATTGTATAATATAGTGTATATGTATATCATTTATTTTTTAAGCATATATAAATAGTAAATATATTTCATTCTTATTTTAAATCTTTTTATTCATTATCTGTTATTTATTTTGATATTTATGTATAATTGATATATAATTATTTAATGAAATTGTCAGTGTAAGAGAAACAATTCGAAAAATTTCAATGATTATTAATAGCTGGAACCAAGATTAAGAAAAAAGGCACACATTTATTTAGGCATTAACAATGTAATAGATAAGTTATGAAATTCCTAAATCTTTTAAAAAAGACATATTCAACTTTGTACGAACTTATGCCAGTTTTCAAATAAATGTCATACAGTGATACGTCGATACGAATTGTGACAGAATCCAAAGAAACTGAAGAACCTAATTGATATCTTGATGGAAAATGTCAATGTGTACAATACAAAATACTTACTTGATATCTAAGCTTGTATGTCGGATAAAATTAGTGTGAATGAGTCCGTATAATTATAAAAAATATAGTATGATATATATACATACATATATATATATATATATATA